TCTTATACACATCTAGATGTGTATAAGAGACAGCGTCTGGGCTCATTGCATTTCTGGCAGACTTGGGTGCAGATTCATGAAGAATTAAAAGAAGAGGAGAAGATAACTTGGGTGTGCTCAGGGGTACACCTACAAAAGGACATACTACAGTGAAACTATTGCAGTCTTTTTCCAGAACAGACGAAAGTGGGGTGGAAGCAAGAGCCAACTACTATGACTACACACACAAGAAAAACAGAGAAGAGGCCCTCTTGCAGGGCAGTAGGTAGGATATCAATCATAGGATTGAAGTAGGTACACAAGAAAAACAGAAAAGAGACCCTCTTGCAGGACAGTAGGTAGGATACCAATCATAGGATTGAAGTAGGTTCATCGCTTACCTTTTGTGACAGGTCGTTGTTTTTTTTCTTTTTTTCTTTTTTTAATTGCTCCATCTATTGGTGGGGAGCATCACCTGCTGGAAAGCTTTTTGACAGGTCATTGTCATGATACGACATGTTCAATTTCATGCCACGTGTTCTGAAACAGACATTGTCACATTGGGCGTCCATCCACTACAGTAACTCCGAAAATGCACAAAAGACGAAAATCATGGCTAGCGGAAGATTCACTCTAGTTTTGCACATTTCGAGAGTGGTGGGGCGAGGCCCATTCTCTTGAGCTAGTCCAGTCTTGGACCATAGGATTGCAGGTGGTACAAGTGTGAACCTTGGTTCACGTCGTTTTTTATCCTCATTGACGGCATGATTGCTTTAGGATTGTAGGCCGGCCCAGGTTCACGTGGTGGCAGTCTATGTCGTACTAGGCATTTACCTAGGATAATCAATGCCGCTCCATCCTCTCTTAATTCCTGACTTCCTCAAATGAAATGATGACCCCAATTCTCCAAGGCATTGCTCTGGGCACAGGCGAATCATTGCCTATCCATTCGCGTTTCCTTAGAGACTTGATAATGGCAACCGCTGGACCCGGAGCCCAGACCGTGGTGGTCCCCACAAAAAGATTGCAGTTGGGGAAAAAAAAAACACCGAAGAAAGGACTAATCTTTGAGGTAGCACCGTGATCACTAAAATTTGCTGCCAGTCGATAGTTATGACAGGAAATGTTATCAGCTCAGAGATATTTGATCCTAGCAAAGGAATAGTATCTGCGTTCTTCACCCGAATAGAACGCCCAGTCTTTACCACTGCATGTGGACCGAAAGTTGGCCCAAATGCAGCCCTCATGACCGCATTGACCGGGTGTTCTATTGGGGTAAAGACGGTAGTTACGGCGTCTCTGGAAGTTCGCTCATGCAGTGCGTTGCGTTGGCCACTGGTGGGCCCATGGTAATCGATCAAAAGACCACTTCCAGAGACGGGCGTCCTTTTCTTTTCTTAACCCCGGGAAGAAAAAGAAAGGGATTCATATAAGGGGTGACCAGGGCGCAGTCAAGACTTCAGTTTCCAATCCAGTTCAGGCACCCCTCGAATACAGCACATCCCTACCCGACCGGAAAGCAGGGTTGTATACATTAACGATTTCGTGACTGACTGAAACGCACTTTCAAACTGCAACCGTGACAGCGACCGGGAATCGGCTGGGGCAGTGACGACACTGACGAGAACAGATATAGTGAACTCCTCTTTTTCTTTTTCTTTTTCTTTTTTTTTTCTTACTCGCGCTCTCTTTATCTTCAACTCTCAAATTCTTTCTTTTTCAAAATTATTGCATTTTCGAGGAATAAGCTGCCCAGTGCGCAAAGGCAGTTATGTCAACAGTGGCAAAAACAAGGGACAGCCACGTTTTCCCGAGGGCCCAGTGCCCTATCTAGACTCCGGGACCTCCCTCCTTCCATCCACACGACTTCAAATCCATCACAAGAGGACAACCCCTCTCCCCCCCCCTTCCTTTCACCAGCTTTTACTCCCCCCTCCTACCCAGATAATAACAGCAAAGGGACGAGGGAAATATCTATCCATCGATCCGGCCTTCCTTACAAGAGGGAGAGGGGGGGGGGGGGGGGGGGGGGTCCCGGGACCTTACAAGAGTTAAACAAGAAGGAGGGCCCTGTAAACAAAAAAAAAAAAAAGCCGCTCACAGAGAAACTACCGAGAAGAGTACCTACCGACTACCACACACTTCCGTCCTACCGTCTCCCAAATTCTTTCAAAGTCAAACTTCCACTACCTACGTACCCCTAGTCCTACGTCTATACACAATAAACTTTATTTTATTTTTATTTGCTTCCAAAAGGCCGAGAAAGGCATTGGAAAGAAACATACGGGGGGAAACTACGCAGGCGTCAACAAAATGAGTTATAATTGCACTATGGGCCAAGATACCGTTTCGAATTGCAGTTCGGGCGGCAATGTATACAACCCAGCTTTCTGGCCAGGTAGGGTGCGCCCCGAGTGCAATTGCAAACTGTATCTTGCCACGTGGTGCAATTATAACTCCTTTTTGTGACTCTTGCTGATGGGAACTTCGTTTTTTTTTATTTAACAGTCCTCGCGGATGCTAGGGGTGCTGGTAAGAGCAAGCACCTGGGGATTTCGTTTTGAGTACTGCGGATGAGTGCTGGCGGTGGTCGTCGAATGCAAACTCGAATTAAATTTCGCGTCCAAAAAAAGTTAAAAGCTAAAAGTTAAAAACCGATGATACTTACCGATGGGCGTAGCTTAGGGCGTCGCCGCACGGGACACGAAACGAAAAACGAAACGAGTGCATCTTCCTGCAGAACATGGACAGGTTCATCGGTTTGCTATAAAGAGTAACGAGTGTATTTTGCCACCTTTCGTGGGCAGATGCACTCATTTCGTTTTCGTTTCGTGTGCCGTGCGGCAAGACCCTTAGTTGGGGTACACTTGTAAACTGTTGAAATATAAATCAGACCCAGGTTCGATTCCAGACGAATGCAATCAGATTGACAAAAAAAAAAAAAAACTACTACTGCATTACCTAGACGGCTGATACCTTCGATGCTGACAACTCAACCCGTCACCCTTTTTTTTAATTAAAAAACACACACACACACACACAAGAAAAAGAAAGACCAAGATTCTTCTGCCAATAACAAACGAACAGAGAACAAAGAAACACAGGATATTTGTGCCATGGCTGCATGGCACGAACAAACGGAATTCATTGCTGCTTTCCCCAACTGCGCAATCAATCACCCGGTTCTTCACGTATAATTGCACAAAAACTGCAATCAAACTGATTGCACAATTTGCAAAGCACTTGCAATACACACACAATTGACTAAATTTGACTCTCCTTCCAAACTGCAAAACACACACTGAAGTGTGTCACTGCACCATTACTTTTACATTTTTATGTTCCGACTAGACTTGACTTGCCCCATTCACTTGCGAATCCTTCCAAATCGCAAACACACACACACACACACACACAGAGTTCGGTATTATATTGTTCGAATGAGATATTGAAGTGCCTGGCCGGGTTGATGGCGCTCGCATGAGCAACGGAATAGACAGAGTATTGGGCACGCAAGCTCACGTCGGCGACATCATATCTCTCTCTCGTCGGACAAACGAGTGCGCCAGCCATGAGTGCGCCAGCCATGAGCTAGAAAACGCAACAACCCGTAGCGTGAGAAAAAGTGGCCGCCGCTGTGTCTTTTCGCTCTGCGCAACATGATGCAGTGCCCGGGCCCCCTGGGCCTGTGGTGAAAAATGCACTTTGTGAACAAGAAGCTGTACATTCCTGCTCCAGACCAGTCCTCCTGAATGATCACAGGCCATTTATTTGCACTCCTACTCCTAGCGAAACGACACACTCACAGAAAGCGCTACGACAACGAAGGGGAAAACCTCAAGCCCCCACCAAACCTTATCTGATGGCAGTATCATCTCGTATCTCGTATCTCGTTCTCGTGCCACTTAGCACTCTTTAAGTGCATGCTGAGTATTTACGTGAGTGCTAAGTGAGTGCTACGTGCTAAGTGAGTGCTACGCGCTAAGTGAGTGCTACGTGCTAAGTGAGTGCTAGTAAGTGCTTTGTGTGTTCAGGTGCTCAATGAGTGCTACGTGCTAAGTGAGTGCTAAGTGCTAAGTCTGTCAAATATCCCACAAAGGATGGACAACACCATGCACGTGTGATTCAAAAAAAGAGAAAGAACACAAACAAAAAAAAAAAAACATCGAGGTGTCATTCATTTTCCCGCTTCCTCAGTGGATTGGTGATCCTACCGTCTTCACCCGAAGAGGACGCCCGGTCACTGTAGCTGTAATTCCGCCCACGCGTCGGACTCGATACAGCAATAATGACCGACCGTTCTATTCGGGAGAAGCGGATAGTGCCAACTACTCCCCACTGGATGGACGGTCAGATCGTGGTCCCGCTCCCAACGCGCTGCGCGCCGCGCGCCGCGCGCCGCCTTTGATAGCCCCGCGCTCAACATTCAGTAGCGAGAATGTGCTAAATTTGGATACTGCCACTTCTCAACACGCCCCATCCCCCGGTGTCTGCAAGCGGCCTCTTGCATCTGAGAGGGAGAGGGGAGAGGGGAGAGGGGAGAGAACCGGAACCTGCATTTTCCTTCCATGTGACATCAGAGATACACAAGAATCGACTGCCTCTTGCATGTGAGAGGGGGGGAGGGAAGAGGGGAGAGAACCGGAACCTGCGCGCGCGCGCGCGCGCGCCCCGCTGCGTCCTCAACAAGGTGCACGCCCTGGAGAAGCTTCTACTATACACATAGCAGTGATGCATGTCTCGGTTAGTTTTCCAGGAAGGCCACCTACGACGAGAGCAGCTCAAATCGACAAGACCCTCCTCGCACGTCGTGGCCGTTCTCCTGCATGTCGCCGCCGTCCGCCCATATGTAGCTCTTCTACCGACGTAACCGGCGACGGGTCGTCTTTCTCCTAGTCATGTCTAGCAAGAATGACCACGTACACATATGTATTGTTCATCGTGTTCCGCGCAACGCCGATTTTGTCGTAAGTCGAATTCAGTAGCTGTTGACGAATTGTTCCGTTTTTCGCCCACGCGGCAACAGGAGCGTCGTTCCCGCAGTGCGCCAATTCATACGCATCCTTTTTGTCGTCGTCACACGCTTTCACTGCAGCTCTTGCCGCTGAAATACAGAGCAAATCAACCAGTGTGCGAACAATGAAAGCACTCCCCCACCCCCGTCCCGTCACAAAACCA